AGTTGGGCACTGGTGTCGACTTGGCTGGCTCTAGCTACAAAGGACCCTGCTGGACTTGGTCCAGGGAAGGATGTTCGCCCTGTTGTGGTGACAGAGGCCAAGGCACAGAATGAGGAGGAGAAACAGAAAGGCAGAGAGGAAAGAGACTGAGGTGGAGAGAGGGAGACAGAAAGGCAGGGAGAAAAAGAGACCAAAGACAGAGAAAGAAACCCAGAGAAACAGCAATGAAGACAGAAGCAGGGTTGGGTTGGGGGGAACTGCAGACACAGTGGGAGGGGCAGTCTGAGATGGGACCAGACCCTCTGAGGCAGCTTCACGGGGGTCCCTGGAGAAAGTCTCTGAGCCAGCCACTGATCAGCTGCCTTGTTTGGGGGGTGGGGGGTGGACAGGGCGGGTGGCCGGGCCATCAGTCCCCGTCTAGCTCCGGGCTAGGTGCATCCTCAGGCTCCTCCTCATCAAAGTACCTCTCTTCCTCATCCCGGGCCACAATGTCCAGGTTGTCGAAGTCGGGGTTATCATCCACGGCGCTGCAGAGGGAGGAGGGGGGTGTCAGAGGCTGGCTCTGCCTGGGCCCAGACCCCACCCTTCGGGGAAGCTGGGGAAATGGCTCGGCCCTGTGAGGTCAAAGGCCGTATGCTGGCAGCTCTAAGATTCAGCTAACCCCCTTGGAGGGGGATGTTGGGTCTCTCAGGGCTTCAAACAAAAGGCAGTATTTTCCAAATCAGAGATTTTACATAAAAACTTCTGGTTTCTCTTAAAAAGCTGGAAGATGTGATATGGTGACACTGGGGCCCACATTCCCAAGGCAGTGGTTCTCAGCCTGGAAGGCTGTGTCCCCTCAGATGACATCTGGTGATAACCGGAGACATTTGGTTGTCACAACTGGGGAGCTGCTACTGGCACCTAGTGGGTGGAGGCCAGGGTACTACTCAGCGTTCTGGTGCACTAGGATAGGCCCCGCTCACAAAGAATTATGCTGTCCCAAGATCATTAGTTCTGAGGCCCAGAAACTGCATTAAAGTGACAAGTGATCCTAAAATGTGAGGAGCCGGACTCCACTCCAAATCCTCCCTCAGCTCCCATCAAGCTCACTTTGTGCAGAAAGCCCTGTCCATTCTGCCCTCCCTCCTGCCACTCGGGTAGCCTTGCTATTCTTCCGTGCCACCCTAGGGCCCTTCCCCCGGATATCTGTCACTCACCCTTCACTTCCTGCAGGTATCTACTCAGAGAGCCTTTCCTGGCCACCTTGTCTCCCCCCATCCCCACCTTTTCTTCATGGCCCATCACCATCAAACGCTTGATGCTTCTTTTCCTCACTACAGTGGGACCTCCTTCAGGGCTGGGAATCCTCTCATCGGTTTTGTTTCCTGCTTTATCCCAAGCCTGGACACAGCAGGCACTCGGCACGAGGTGGCTGAACACCACAAGGGAACATGTGGCCCTGCTGCCCAGCAGTGGCCTCTGGAGAGGGGACAGGCTTCGTCGCCATCATTCCTCACGCCAGGCCTGGATTCCTTGTGGGTTTTATGGCAGCAATGGTGCCCTCACTGAGGGCTCCCTCCCTCACTTACTCTGTGGACATTCAGGCTGCAAGGCTGGTCCAGGCTGGAAGTGACCACCTGCACCTGACTCCAGAGCCAGGGTGTCCAGATTGGGCCAGTGGCTGTTATGATCCCCATTCAGCTGACGTGCCCCCAAAGGTCTGCTTGTTCACACTGCATCAGAGTTGTGTTTGAAACCAGAGCCCTCTGCTGCCATGCCGGTGTTCAGGACCACAAGCCAGACTGCCTCAGTGGACAAACCACTTATCTTTGATAGTTTACTCTCCTGTGTCCTTCTCCCTGATAGTAAAATCCTTTTCAAAGCAGGTGGCCCATGCATCTTGGCCCCGAGGTTATACTGGAGAAATTACCCACCAACACTGCAGGGCCCCCATCACAGGCCCCTCCCACTACACATTAGCTTTGCCAGGGATTACTTCCTGCAGCATGAGGTGTGGGGTTCCGGGGGACATTTGGGAGGCCTGGGGTAGTGGCATCCTGCCAGGCCACCAAGTGAAAATGTTTCAATATCTTATCAATATTGAGTTGAATGTCAGCCCTGCTCATTCCCTCCTTACATTTGGGGAGAGGATCGAGGCTCTCAGATGGACAAAGCTAGTCCAAGGTCACCCTCTGATCTTTGGTTGATCTGAAACCCTGAGGCTGTCTGACCCCAGGGCCCATGGCCTGGAACTGTTCTGGGGCCTTCTAGCACCACGGAGGCCCTCCATGGAGATGCCTGGGACCTGGCATGCAGCTGAGGGCTATAGGGTGCTGGGTTGGGGGACGAGGAGGTAGAGGCATGAAGCACCTGTAGTCAAAGTCCCCGTCCTTGCCGTCCAGGAAGCGCTGGTGCATCCGGCTGGTGAACTCTTCCCGCAGGATCAGCCTCTCCTCAGAGTCGGGAACCCAGGCCTCCGAATCTTTGCCAGGGCTCTGGTCTGCGGGGGAGACACCCACAGTGTGGGAGTGTGAGGGGGACACTCGGGTAGGTGCTGAACACAGTTCAGAGAGCTGCATCCTTTGTGCTGGGTGGCACTGGGAACATAACAGTGACCAGAAAGCCCGCAGTCCCTGCCCTCCTGGAGCACACACCAAGCACATGACAACCAGTGCTCCGCGGGCTGCAGAATAGGGTCAGGACTAGACACCTGAGGGTGGTGAAGGGAAGGCATTCCCGGCAGAGGGAACGTCATGAGCAAAGGCCTGGCGGCGAGGGATTGCTTGGTGCTTTTGAGGATTGAGGGCAGAGAGATGCTGGAGAGGTCGGGAAGGGCTAGGGCACACAGGGCTCTTGGGTCAGGCAGGACAGGGACTCAATGTCTACTCCTGCAGGTGGGGCCCAGCCTGGTGCCATGGACTGAGGAGACTCCAGGACTGTAGAGTCCAGATACTGGGGCTCCCCTGCTGCTGGTCCTCACCTTCCTTGTCACTGTCCTCTTCCTCTTCTTCCTCCTCCTCCAGGCAGGCCTCCTCCTCCTCCTGCTGCTGGAGCAGCCGTTGCTGCAGTTCCTGTTCCTGGTAGGATTGCAGCAGCAGGTCGGAGAGTGGGCAAGGGGGTGTGCCGGGGGAGCCGGGCTTGGGTGGCTGGTGGGCTGGGGTGCGGGCACTGAGCTCCTCCTGGGTTAAGTACTGCCCGATGTACTGCTCATACAGCAGTGGAGCCCGGAACCGCATCTGCTCGTCACTGAAGTACTCGCCCTCTGCACAGAGGAGACAGAGTGGGGTCAGGAGCCTATGGGCGGGGCCAGGGGCTGCGTGCAGGGTGAGGGTATCTAGGCAGACATGTGTCCATGCGTGTGTGTGTGATCATGCTGGTAGGAAGACATGAACACACAAATGCAAGTGTGCACACATTCAAATATGTAGGAAAATATGCAGATGCCTGAGTTCCCGTGGCCACCAGTATTCATGCATGCATCTGAGCACATTTGTGTGACCAGGCCTGTATCTGCATGCCTACTCATGTGTCCAAACATGTGTCTGCACAGTAAGGCCCATGAATATCCTGCCCCTGAGGCACTGGCGGCCTGTGGACAAGATGCCAGGGCAGGACTCACAATCCCCTGCCCACATCCTCCCGTGGGTGTCCACACACTGCCACAGGTACCTGTGTGACTAAAGTGTGCAGATATTGCAGGCAGATGTATGCGCAGTCTATAGGCTGTGTGCCTGTCCACTGAGCCCCGTTCTGGCTATTGGCGCACACATCTGGACACCTAAGTGTATGTCTATGGGAGCTGGCATGTGTGCGCACAGGAGCAGGTAGAACAGGCCTCTGCCCAGGTGTGGTTTTCCTGGTGGTCTTCCAGACCCCAGCTCTCCCTAGTGCTCCTCTCTGCAGCCACCCCCCAGGTGGGCCTGGCATCCCTAGCACCCTAAACCCGGGTCCTCTGCATCTCTCCTGGCTGCCTGTTCCTACAGGGGCAGTTCTGTGCCTCAGTTGACAGTTAAACGAAGCCTGGTCCCTCCTGCCCTACTTTCAGAGCCCAGGGTGGGAATCTGCCTGAATCCTGGCCTCTGGAGCACCTGAGCGTGACCGTCCCTGTCCTGCCTCCCATCTTGCGCTCTCTTACCCCCAGCTTTTGTATTTCCCACCAGATTCTGTCTCTCTCCCTCCTTTTTCCTGGCTCTCTGTCACCCCCTCCTTCTCTGACCTCAGTTTCTGTCATCCAGCCCCCCATTCTCTCTCGTTTTCATCTTGCTCACCTGTTGCTGTGTCCCACTCTTTCATTTCCCTCAGCCCATGCCTTTTCCCTAACAAGAAACTTCACTTTCTCTGCTTCATTTGCTCTCATCTTTTACCTTTAGTTCTGGTGTCTTTGGTCACAAAAACACTTGTCATGTCATGGTCAAACAGGTATTGATTGATGTTTTCCTTCATGCTTTTCATTCACGTGTGCCTTGTTTGAGAGGGCCTTTATGTCCTCAGGGTCATAAACACACTCCCCTAGGTTTCCAGCAATGCCTTTGTGTTCGGTGTGAGGGAGGGTTCTAATTTTCCTGACAGATAACCAGTTATCACGGCTCTAGGCACTGTGTCCTCGGTTTACAGATCTGAAATGGTACTTCGGTCATTCCCATTCTCTTTCCCTGGGTCCCTATTTGTGTAGTCTACCTAATGTCACCCTGTCACTTCACATTTGTCTGTCTCCCCCTGAATCCCTGACTCAGCACTTGTCTCCCAGGATCTCTGTCTGTTTCTGCTCTTGCATCCTTCTTATTAGCTCTGCCTCGCTTTCCCCTCCTGTCCAGTCCACCTGCCCCCACACCTTGGATGAGCTCACGCAGGGCAGCGTAGCGCCGGTTACGCAGGCGTGTACGCAGGGTGCGGGGCCGAGCGGTGCCCTGCCGGGCTACCTCCGCACAGTAGAAGTCTGCACGGTGATCACCACGTAGGTGGCCAAAGCAGGCCAGGTGCTCCTCGCGGAGGCCTGTGCGGAAACGCTCTAGAAACACCAGTGGCTTCTCGTGATACAGCTGGCCCAGGATGGCCACCTTCTCCTGCTCGGTCAGGTCAGGCTCTCCTTGCTGCTGGCTGCATACAGGCAGGTGGCTGGCAGCCACGGCATGCAGCATAGCACTCACTGCTGCATTCTCAGTCCCAGAGGTGTCATTGCCCAGGGCCTCTGGAACGCCCTCTGCTGCTTCCACCTTGTCCAGGGGTCTGGATGGGACTGGCATCCAGCTCAGCTCCCCCCAGTGCCCAGAAGTGGGCTCTGTGCAGCCTGTGGGTAGAGGGGAGATTTCTTAGTCTGGAATGGGAGTGGGGGTGAGTAGGAGGGACTGGGTGCTCAGTCCCTCACTCCACATTTATTGAGCACCTACTATAATTTGGGCACTGTGTTAGGCCCTAGAAATACCACAATAAACAAGAAGTTGACATTTCAGTGGGAGACACAGATAATCAAAAACCTTTAATAAAAACATATAGTGTGTTAGAAAACATACAGTGTTAGGTGGTTTAGGAGTTATGCAAAAAAATTCAGAGGAAAGGAGAAAATGGGGGACAGGGAGAGGGAAAGGCTGCAATTTTAAGACAGAGAAAGCTTGCCTAAAAAGTGACATTTCAGTAGAGACCTGGGGTGGTGAGGAACTGAACCATGACATTTCTGGCGGAGAAGAGTTTCAGACAGAGGGAACAGCCAGTGCAAAGGCCCTGAGGCAAGAGTGTTTGGTGTAGTTACTTGGTCCTTTACCACTTTGTTCACCGATTCACTCAATTCTTTGCCTTTTCGTTTGTTCACAAAATGTAATACATTCACTAACTTGTTCACTCACTCATTCATTCTCTTCCAAACCATTCTTTAGCAACTCTAAAGCTATTCAAGGCCCTGAACTGAGTAATGCTGAGGAGCCACAGGAGGAATCCAAGCCAGCTCCTGCCCTCATGAAGCACCCAGTTGATGGAGGAATAGGCAAGATCAAAGACAATACAGGCCCTGGAAAGTAGAAAGCTGAGAGCTAGGCTGCAGCAAGCAGGAGCTAAGTACAGACAGAAAGTATAGACAACTCCTTGCCCTGGCTGGTGTGGCTCAGTTGGTTGGGCGTTGTTGTCCTGTGCACCAAAACGGTGAGGGGTGTGCAGGAGGCAGCTCACTGATATTACGCTCTCACATGGATGTTTCTCTCTTCTCCCTTCCTCTCTCTCTAAAAATCAATAAACTATTCTTTAAAAAAAAAAAAAGAAAGTATAGCCCTAGCCAGTTCGGCTCAGTGGTTAGAGCATTGGCCTGCAGACTGAAGGGTCCTGGGTTCAATTCTGGTTAAGGACACATGCCTGGTCAATGATTTTCTCTCATCATTGATGTTTCTATCTCTCTCGTCCTCTTTGAAATCAATAAAAATATATTTTAAAAAAGAAAGTATAGACAACTCCTTTAGGTAGCTTAGCTGGGATGGAGAAGAATAAGGGGGTAATGATTACAGGTACATGGGTTTCAGATTTTTAAAAAATATATATTTTTATTGATTTCAGAGAGGAAGGGAGAGGGAGAGATAGAAACATCAATGATGAGAGGGAATCATCAACTGGCCGCCTCCTGCATGTCCCCCACTGGGGATTGAGCCCAAAACCCAGGAATGTGCCCTGACTGGGAATTGAACTGTGACCTCCTGGTTCATAGGTCGACACTCAATCACTGAGCCATGCCAGCCGGACACGGGAAGATTTAAACACACAAAAAATTTTTTTTAAAGCTGAGCTAGACTAGAGCAGGTGCTGTGGAGGAAGGGATAAGAGGAGTGGTGGTTAGAAAGATGTCTGGGGCCCGGCCGGCATGGCTCAGTGGTTGAGTGTTTACCTATGAACCAGGAGGTCAGGGTTTGATTCCTGGTCAGGGCACAAGCCTGGGTTGTGGACTCGATCCCCAGTGTGGGACATGCAGGAGGCAGCCGATTAATGACTCTCTCATGATTGATGTTTCTATCTCTCTATTCCTCTCCCTTCTTCTCTGAAATTAATTAAAAATATATATTTAAAAAAAAAAGATATCTGGGAGGCCAAGTCCATAAGCTATGGGGCTGAAGGGCTGGGAGGTAAGGGAGGTATCCAATTAAGATCCAGAGCTCTGGCCCCTGAACTAGTCAAACTGTGTCTGAGACAAAGACATGGACGAGCAGGTTTGAGGGAAGATGCTGACGCCAGTCAGGACATGAAGTAAGAGGACCAGGGGACATCAAGGGGCATTTTAGAGACCATTAGTACATGGGGCTAGAGACTTCTCAGAGAGAAGCGTTGGGCTGGGGACAGAGTTGTGGGGGTTACAGAGTCAAGACAATTAAAGCTGAAAGAAATTAGAGGTCATGGGGAGGGCAGGGGAGGGGACATGTGTGAAGATGAGAAACGAAGGGCTAGGAAAGAGCCCTAATTGGATGGGGAGAAGATATGCCTGTGAAAGACTTCTAAAAAAATAGTCTCCAAAAAGATAGCCATGTCTTAGTTCCTGGAACTTGTTAATGTTACCTTGTATAGCCAACGACAATAGCAACAAAAGGGTCTCTGTAGATGTGATTAAGTTAAGCATCTCGAGATGGGGAGAGTATCTTGCATTATCCAGGTGGGCTCTAAAAGCCATCACAAGTGTCCTATAAGATCTGACATACATGGAGGGGATGACAATGTGAAGACAGATGGAAGCAGGGGTTGGAGTGATGTGGCCACAATCAAGGAATGACAGGAACCACCAAAAGGCGGAAAAGGCAAGGAATGGGCTCTCCCTTAAAGCCTCTGAGGGTGCCCCCACTGTCTTGCTGACACCTAGATATCTGCCCAGTGATACTGATTTCAGACTCTGGCCTCCAGAGCTGTGAGAGAATAAATTTCTGTTGTTTAAAGCCATCCAGTTTGTGGTAATTTGCTACAGCAGTCTTGGGAAACAAATACTAGAGGCTGAGCTCGATAGGAAGGAAATCGGAAAGAGGGGTGTCGGAGAAACCAAGGGAAAACCTTAAAGAAGGACGGAGGGGCCAATAGCACTGTGTTCTCCATGTCGTCTAATAAGAAAAACACTGAATGGGGTGACACAGGGAGGTCACTGGGGACCCTAACCAGAGCAGTTCCTGAAGGTAAAAGCCAGACTGCAATGGGTGGGAGACGGGGAGATGGAAACAAGGATGGGTGACTCTTTGGAAAAGGTAACATGGTTTCTGGAAGGTAGCATGGGATCAAGGGATAGATTTTCTCTTTAGGTTAAAACATTTTTTTTATTATGGAAAATTTCAAACATGCACAAAAATAGAGAGTACACCCCCCCCAATAATCCAGCTTCAACAATGATCAATTTCTGGCCAGTGATGTTTCAGCCTCCCAGCCACACTTCACCCCACATGGCATTACTTTGAAGCAGGGGATGGAATTTTAAGTCGAGCAAAACAAAAGCATGTTAGATACTTACGAGAAGGCATCAGGAGAAATAGATTAAAAGTGCTATAGAGAGAGACCCGGGGGAGCACAGAAATGGACTACCAGCAAGCACCCTGAGGTGGCAGATGGGGCTGAGAACTTTGGGGGAAGAATTAGAATGAGACGGAGGAAACCGTTGGTCTGAGATAAGCAGAGTTTGCATGGGGCAGGAGGAGGGTTAGTCTGGGGAAAGGGAAGCCTCAGTTACACAAAATGAAGGAGGTAATTTGAGAAACAGGGTTGGCTGAGATACAGGTAGAGTAAGCCCGGGGCAGGGGAGAGGTTCCCGTTAGTTAACCCGGGAGTTAGCCAGGAGGAACCGGGACATGGAAAAGGCTGGCCTGGAACGTGTTAGAGGTTAATTTCGGGGAAGGGGATACAGTAAAAGTCAGCCCGCAAAGAGAGGGGTTCACCTGGACAAAGTGGTGAAGGGACAGGTAAGGCCGAGGGCAGGTCTACAGAGTCCTCCTTCGCGATCTGGGAGTAATTTCCCAAAGACACCGCAGCCCCCCCTCCCGCCGCCTCCGCGTCGCCTTGACCTCACCTTCATCAGGTTCCCTTGCTGTCGCCGCCGCCGCCGCCGCCACAGCCTCCATCCGGATTTTCTACGCTTTTTAACCGCCGTGGTAGGCTCCGCACCGTCAACTCGGCTCCACGGCCACTTCCGGCTGAGCACACTCGCTGGGGTCCCGATGCCCCGCTGCGCCCAGAACCAAAGTTCCGGGCAGAAGGCGGACCTTTCTATGCGCATGCGTGTCTCACTTAGGTTTCACTCTCCGTAGCCAGGAAGGAAAAGGCCACCCGTGTCAGAGGCCTAACACTTGGTTCCCCCCACCTCCAATCTGAACTGCTACGGAACTGGAATATCAGGAGGAAGATGTTCAACCTGTTCACTGCAGTGACTCCAAAGCCCGCATGCTTAATTTTGGGATGGATGATCGGTTGAATGAGAAACCCTTCAGGGCCTCAAAGGGTTTGTGGTCTAGTTTAAACGCCAGCCTTTCCTTTTATCTTTTCACCATTTCAAAGAATATTTACTAAGCCTTGTCTCTTGCTCTGTCATCACACCCGGTCTCCGGTTAGCATGAGCTGGGTGGTGAGGGCTGGGACAATCTGCAGATGTGGAGAAAAACGTGGCCTTAGGAAACTGCTTTGCCTTAGGTAGTAGACATGTCACCAGTGACCGTCCTGAATGTTCAGGGCTCTAATGGACTGAGGGGGATAAGGGAGCTGCCACCCATTCTGGAGGCCCAGGGAAGGCTTCTTTTGGGAGGATGAGATGCCCCAGTTGAGACCTGAAAGATGATTTAGGACAAGAGGAAGGGCGGTAGGGAAGGGTTTAGGTAGGGGGATGGGTGAAGCCAAAGATCTAGAGAGCACACCCATGGATAGTTCTGGTTGCTGTAAAGGCTTCATATGGAATGGGAATAAGTTCTAACTTGAAGGCCTTGATTGGGCGGCAGAGAATTGAGAACCTCATGTATCTTTATGCAAAATTCCACATACATGTGAATTTGGATCATGGCATTTATAGATTCAAGGGACTTGACTCCCCCCAAATCACTTATCTGAAGTGCAAAGGGGGAGCAGCAAAAGATGAAGACGGTGAGGTCACCAGGGGCCAGGTATGGGGCCTCATAAGCCATATTAAGTAGCTTGAGCTCCTTTATATCCTGTGGGGATAGGGCAAGGGGTTTCAGGGGAAGGGACATCTGTGAGGAGGCTGGTGCAGTTATCTAGACACTGGCCAGGAGCAGTTTGCATTCCCAGCACATATCCCACACAGATAGCTGGATACACTTAAATGTATGGAGGCCAGCAGAGGGAGCTGTTGCTCAACACATAGACCAGAGTTGGTAAGAATTCCCAGGCTAGAGGCCCTTGCTTAGCAGGGAGAGTGGGCACTTACTCTAGCGTCTTTTAGTCTAACCAGCCACCAACTGCCGCTCCTTATGTTTAGATGTCCCACCCTGACCTCAAAACGATTTGGCCCTTCTCCTTTTTGTAGCCTGTGTCCCTTCCACACGCTGCGATACTTCCTGTGAGGGAAGGGATGGAGCTGAACTGGCTATTCCTGTGCTCCAGCATTGCCCCTCACAAAGGGCCAGGAACACAGGCTGTCCAGAGGGAATGAAGAAATGACTCAAACTGCTGGGGATGATGGGCTGTGGGAATGCAATCAGAATGTCCTTTAACCTGGCTCACTCCTATTTTAAAATATTTTCCCTTCTCTAGGAAGCCCTCACCACCACCACCACCACCACCACCCTAGGCTCTCATAGCTAACCACTAGGTGCTATCACCATTTGATGACAGGTCCGTGTTACTTGTGGCCTGGGAGCCCTGGATGGGCAGGGTCCAGGGTTGCCTTGGCCATACTGTGTCTCTCAGCACCATCCAGGCCCAGTGAGGAACAGAGCAAGTTCCTAACCTATTGGCTGGATAAAGCTCCTGTAATCCCCACTGGACCCAGACACACAGGCAGGAACTATCATAAGTCCAGCTCACAGGCCAGGCCTGAGGTGGATGAGCAGTGATACCCAGTGATGACCCGAGTCCAGTCCTGGTCTCCCCCTATTAGCCATACTTACCCTCCATACCAAGGGATCTGGTTCCATACCTTCTAAACAAATTCTTGGAGATTTGGGACTGTGAGTGGACTGGAAAGGGCAGGGACCAGAGAACCACTTCAAAAACGAACTAGTGGGTTTTAAACTGAGGGCCCCAGGTTTAAGGTGGCATCCCCAGCACCAAAAATGGGGCTAGGCATGAATCCCTCAATAAGTGTTTAATGAATGGTAAATAATGTCCCCTTGAAAAGGCCCCTCACCCCAATTAAAGGCCAATTGCACTTCAAGGTTTCAACCCTTATTCCTTCCTGCTAGGAGGTGCCATCTCATTTATTGAAAGAAAACAAAACAAAACAGGGGAAACACATTTCTTAATAAGTGCAGTCTGTTAAAATCCTGTTAAAACATATGGGTCAAGGGCAAGTAAAAATAATCAGAGGGTCACTGTAGGAAAAACCTTTAGGTCTGGCACCTGGGAGATCTCTGGAGAGGAAGCAGTGGGAAAAACTTCATATTCTGAAGGAAAGGAGACACCCCTCCCCCATTTTCCCTCTCGCCGGCTTAATCCCACCAGAAACTACCAAGACGCCCGGAATAAAAGGTTTCAAGTTCAATAGTCACACTCTCTCCAAATACAAAAAGCAGTTACAATTCAACTCAACACAGAAGCTTGTGTGCAAAGTTAAGGGAAACTGAGACATTGTATAAAAAGTTAGGTTAAAGTTGATTTTGTGGTTTTGTTTTGAGGGTGTGGTTCTTCATTGGTTGCCTGAACTCAGCAAAGAAATGGTTATCCTGATGAAGTATCAACAGCCAACCCACAGTAAAAACAGACAAATTCTAAAAATTAAAAAAAGCATAATTACCAAAAAAATATCTGTCACTGCTTCCTCCCTCCTATTTTGTTTTTTTGCTTTTTAAACTTTTTTTTTAAATTTTTTGATTTTTTTTTTTTAAATCCTGAAAAGTAGACAGTAAAACAGCTTCTGGAAGAATTTACAACCAACTGCATGAGGGTCTGGGAAGCTGAGGGTCTGGAGCAGGGCTGGGAAGAATGGACAGAAAGGGGCCCTCCCCTCAGTCATTATAGCATCACTGCATGACCAAGGAAGGGGGTGTATTTAGTCAAGAAGGAGGACGGGAAGAAGAGGAGGAAGAGGGAGAAGGTGGGGAGAGAAAGAGAAAATAAAAGGTCATTGTTGTCTGTTTGAAACCAGAGAAAAATGCCCAGCCCTGTGGTTGAAGAAGCCCCTCAGAGGGGAGGCAGTGGGCTGGAGGGAGGCAGCCCTGGGATGACCTGTCCCCCAGCACCACAGGACCTGGTGGGGGCAGATGAGGGGCCGTGGCGGGCGCTGGTAGAGGAAGCCGGTAGGGGCCTCCGGGGTACACTGGCTACTGAGTGCTTGTGCCCCCCTGTGTGTTCCCGGCGTAGCTCCCGTAGTCGTAGTTCCCGTAGTATGGCGGCCACTGGCCCTGGTTCTGATAGTACTGGTTCCACTGTTGAGCATACTAGGGAGAAACCAAAAGTACAGAGTTGTCTCTCATCTAGACTTCCATTTGGCTCCTCCCCTCACCCCACTTTCACCCTGGGTAGAGATGGGTGCAGTGACAACGGCTGACACGTGGTCCCCTGACAGAGAAATCAAGGCACCCAGGGAGGACAAGGGACTGACCTGATGCCACATGGGTGGGCAGCGAGGGACTGCAGCCCAGGTCTCCTGGCTTGCCAACCTAAGGCCCTTTTCAGGTACAGGTTAAGGACCACATTCAAAATACTCAATCACGGGTATGGTGGCCCATTACCAACCCACTGGAACGGACACTGGCTATGGTGGTGAGGCAGGATCTGGAGGCCACTGCTATACCCTTTCCTTGCTGCACTGGGGAGAGGAGCTAGGATACCAGCTGTTCAGCAGCCAGTACAGAAGTGTACTGCGAGGGCACTACTACTGCTAGGACATCAGGTGAATTCCTGGCAGGCTGCTCATCTTCATGGGATAAGCAAGGACTCAAGTCTGGGAATACACACCGCAAGGGGACCCTGAGAGTCACTCCATTCCATTGCCCCCAGCCTCCCTAACCCGTGTCCCCATTTGATACCTACCTGCTGATACTGGTTATAGCTGGGCTGAGGGTAGGTCTGTGCAGTAGGGGGTGGTGGTGGGGTGTAGGGGGCCGGGGTGTAGCCGCCGTAGCTCCCATAGTTGTAGGCAGGTGGTGGTGGAGGTGGAGGTGGTGGGGCTGTATAGGCCTGGCTGTAACCTCCCTGGTTGTAGGGTGGCTGGCTGTAACTCGGCTGGAAAGTGGGGGGAAAAAACCAGGGCTCTGTGAAATAGCCAGTTCAGCTGGGATGAAGGGAAGACTTTTGTAAGCAGTGGGCCCACAAAGGAACTTCCCAGGTGGAGGTGGAGGCCTGAGGGGGAGGTGGGTTAGCAACATGGCAGGAAAGGCAGGGTAGGATACAGAGGTGTTATGGACTCCCAGACCCTGGGGAGTTAAGTACAAGGCAGCTCTTGAAATCCCAGGGTCCACACCCCCCCCCCCCCCGCCCCGGTAAAACAAAAATTACAATAGAATTATTTGATTATCTTATTCTGTATTCAATAAGCATGTGAACACAAACCACTGGGTACTCAGTAAATTCTGAGAGTCATTATGGGAGGAGTTACTGAGAAAAAGAGTAGTGGTGCCCTAGCAGGTTTGGCTCAGTGGATAGAGCATTGGCCCGCAGATGGAAGGTTCCTGGGTTCAGTTCTGGTCAAGGGCACGTACCTTGGTTACAGGCTCAATCTTCCACCCTGGTCAGAGTGTGTGTGGGGAGGCAACCATTTGATGTGTCTCTCTCACATTGATGTTTCTCTCTCTCTCTCTCTCTCTCTCTCTTTCTCTAAAAGTCAATGGAAAAATATCCTATGGTGAGGATTAATAAAAAAATAAAAGAGCTTATTCATATAAAAAAGAAGAAAAAAAGAAAAGAAAAAAGTAGTAGTGGTAATTTCCTAAGTGCTTCCCATGTCCAGGCTGTATCATTAACTAACCCAGTCCCCCCACCAGCTCTGAGAGGTGTACTCTGTCAGCCTCCTTTTATTGAGAAGGAAGCAGAGACTCAGGGAGGTTAAATCACTGATTGGGCCCAAGTGGCAGAGAGCCAGGACTTGACCCCAGATCTGTGGTTCCATGAAGCTATGATGCCACCAACCATCTCCCACAACAAGCCTTGGATGTGAATTCTATTAACAACTATAGTCCTTTATGAGAAAAGGAGGTCCAGAGAGGTAAGGCAGTCCAAGGTCACAAAACTAGGATGTTTTAGGGTGGGGCCTGAATCTGCGCCTGCTCAACTACTGTTCTAGAAAATATTCTTGTTAGACCAGGAGTGGGGAACCATTCATCTGTCTCTTGGCAGCTGTTCCCAGGCCTGGCATGTGAAAGGTATTCAGGAAACAGCTGCACAATAAAAGGAGACATACTCTGGTTGACAAGGGCCTGTGCATTCCAGAGTCCGAGCACTGGCTTTCAGAGAACTGGAGCTGAGTCTGGAGCTGCTCTGTTTGAAGGTCTCAGAGCAGAGGCCAAGTCCTCATCAACCTTAGGGCCTGTCTCCACATCCTGAAGACAACAGAATCAGCCCTTCCAGCCTGGGCAAGGGGCAACTCTGAGTGCTTTCTTGGGGATTCAGTGAGCCAGTGAGCCAGTGACACAGCCAAGAGAAATACACTTGCTGGATGAACCTGGAGATGGCGAGGGGCCATCCTCGTCAAAAGCACTGTCTGGGAGAAAGAAGGGCAGGTAGGAGTGGAGACGGGCTGAAGCAGGTGTTGGAAATTTCCCTGATCCCACCTCCTCTCACCTGTGGAGGGCTGTAGCTGCTGACAGTGGGGGTGCTGGTACTGACACTCGAGCCAGGGATGTTGCTGTTCTTGCTGTAGCTGCCGATCCCTGGTGGGTTTCGAGCTGGGCTGTAACTGGGTGGTGGCGGTGGCTGCTGTGGTGGTGGCTGTGGTGGCGGTGGCTGCTGAGGGGGCGGTTGCTGTTGGGGAGCTCGATTGTAGTTGCCTCGGTTGTTGGAGTTGTTGTTATCCCGGCTATTGTTACCCCAGCGGTTCTGGTTGTAGCTACCACCTCCAATGCGGTTGAAACCTGCATTGGAGAAACCAGATGAGAGGCCTGTCATTCTCAACTTGGGCCCCTCAAGAGCTGGGCTGACTTGGTGACTGCTGCAGCCCAGTATGGCTAAGGCTCAGAGCAGCTCAGTCAAGTAAACAAAGCATCCTCTCTGGGATTCCCCAGACCCCTGGGTGCACTCTGCCGTGTAGCCCTGACAACACTTGGTTATCGCTGTTGACTGACAGGTTTGTCCTGGTTTCAATTGTGTCCTCAGCATCTCGATAGCTGTTGAATAAATCGGAAGAGATGTTCTGGAAGAGGGGTGCCAAGCACTGGGGACAGTCCTCGTTAGGTTTGTCCAAATCGGCCAGTCTCTCCTGAACCCTCATGCAGTTGTTTCTTGAGCCTGAGACTCTTCCCTCTTCCAACTCCTACTGGTCTCTAGACCTTAACTTAGGCTCTCAGGAAGCCTTCCTGAGCCCTGCTCCCCTACAGATTGGGTCAGGTGCCACCTAAGGTCACAGTCCCGCTGGGCTTTCCTATTAAGCTCAGAATCCTTCTGGACTGTCACTACAGGGTGATGTGTCTGTCAGGGTCTGGGCTGTGTCCCCAAACTATGCAGCACAGACCAAAACATGGTGGGGCATGCCTGTTAAATTATGATCGTACACTTTATTGCTGACAGCAGAACTTAGTGACTAAGAACTTGGAATTTGGGCCACTTGACCACAACTCTAGATTTAGTAAATTCTGGGTAAATTAACCTAAGCCCCTTTTTCCATTCGTTTTAAAATATATAACCCAAAGCAGTCCTAACATTTGACTTATACCAGGTCCTGAGCTGGGACCCAGGACTGACAGTAACTTGGTTTGGTTCTTCTTCTCAAGCTGACGGTCAGATGAGGAAGATGCACAAAAAAGGCCAGAATGTGACATACAAATGGGCAAGTGCCCAGGGGGAACAGGATAGTGGGAGCATTTCCCTGAGACCCCGAGTCTGACTCATCCTGGTTCTCTACCAGAGTTCAGCCCT